TTTCTGAAAGCTATCCTCTGCACAGAATTTAAAGATAAAAATGTTTGGGCATTTTCTTCTCCAGCTCTTTAGTTTGGGAAGAAATAACAAAGCTTAAGTTATTGAATTACACATACTAACTTTATCCCAAGATATGTTTCTCAATTGAATATTACTGAACTAAAACTTTAAAGGTTAGGGTTCCAGTATTTTATTTTTTTTATTAATTTCCAAGCTTGTGATACTTAGATGATTAAAATATCAGTGTTAATTGTGACCTCATTTACCTTTTGTTTCATACAGTTATTTGAAATATGTTCAGACTTCCTTTAAGCTATTTTTGTAATAGTTAAAAAAATGATGCAAAATCTGTTAAATTAATTTGTCTAGAACACACAGATTCTTAACTTGTATTTTGAATGTGTAATAATCATTTCTGTCCTCTAGACTTGTGAAGGAAAATCAACTGAAGAGAAAGGGAAGTCCACACAGTTCTCCTAATAGATACACTGTAAAAAATAAAAGCTCTTCTGGAAGTCCCAGTCCCAAGAGAAGAGAAAAGACACCACCCAGAAGCTACAAGAATAGGGATAGGTCACATTCTTGCTCAAAATCCCCATCCAGGTCCAAGTATCATTCATTCAATAAAGGAAAAATTTTGCACTCCAGAAGTAGATCACCCAGTAGAAGCCCTCGCAAGTACACTAAAAAAAGTTATAAGGTTAAATCACGAAGGAAGTCTAGGTCACAATCTTTTGATCATTATAATCATTTTAGTTCATCCCATAAAGTAAGGAAAGAAAAGTCCAAAAGATATTAAATTTCAAATAAGCTGCAGCAGGCATTAGTAGAAATAATGAAAGATAAAAGCAAAGAATTGTTTATATACATGTATATACATACCATCCAAGTTGGCAGGGAAAGATCACTGTGTGTGTAATGTTTGTTAGCATTTTGAATAAATTTGTATAATTCTTAGCCTAAATGAGTTACATAAAGTAGTTTGTTTTAATCTGAGAAGATAATATACACCAATAACTTTGAAGTACAGTAGCTTTTATTGAAAGCTCATTACACAGGCCAAAGAAACCATTTAATACAGTTTATTTGTACCATAAGAGGAACATTTTAACACATATTTCATATACAACTTTGAAATGTTCAACCACAAGCTGAAACTTGCTTACTACACATTCTTAATATCATGAGATGTAATGCATTTAAGAAAGGAATGCTGCCATGTTTCAATATTCATACAATGACTACAATAAGCCAAAGAACAAAATTAATGTTTTACTTTAATTCTACTACTTATTCCAAGTAAAATATTTTAATGCAGAAAATTACTCCTGTTTTATAGCATCCGATAATGATTTTCCAATGTTCTACATAAGTTGTGAGGATAAAGCACACTTTAAATAGGCTGCTGGAAATTATTCCCTGCATACTTAGCATTACATCCAAGCTGTTCTTCAATTCTAAGAATCTGATTGTATTTAGCTAGTCTCTCAGAATGGCAAGGAGCACCTGTTTTGATCTGGCCAGTGGACAGTCCAACTACAAGATCAGCAATTGAGTGGTCTTCAGTTTCTCCACTACGGTGAGATACCATCGTGCCCCAGCCATTAGACTTGGCTAACTTGTGTCTATGGAAAATAAAATGGAAGTTATTATAATAAGCTATAAAAAATGTTTTATAAAAGTTTTAACTACAGTTCCAATATAGTCGGAAAGGATTCATAAACTGATGGCTAGACAAGTGCAATATCTTCTATTTCTAATTAAGAAGCAACTTTCAGTACCCTTAACTTTTATGTATAAAAATTCATATAACTTGTACCTAACCATATTATAAGCATAAAAAAAAACATTACCTATATGTTTCAACTGGTACCATTTGGACAATACAAAGGGTTGAATACTTTATATTAAAACAATTTTAACATTATTTGGTATTTTGTAGGCAGTATTATGCCACAAAAATTTATCACTTTTGGGAATGGTATATAACAGCACTTTATAATGCAAAACATTCACACCCTTGGATAAGGGACATTCTTGTATACAATGCCTTTGAACCAACTTGGGAATAAGTCGTACCTCAGCTATGGTAAGTAAAGTGTAGCATTTTATAATGGGAAAATCAGTTACTACAAAAGTCAGTGGCAAAAAGACATCCATGTGCCCCAGGCAACAGTGTGCAATATAAGCAAAGGATCTCCAGCTAAGAAAAAAAAATTACATGAGTTGTTGCCATGACATATTCAACCATCACATACCATAAGCAGATGAAGAATGAAAAGTGTACTTATACTATTCCATACTGGTCAAGTTGCTAGATGCAGTGCCTATGAAGTTCTGTGCGATCAGACTGTTGAAATGAGTGCTAGAAACCATTGTTCTCTTACACTAAACAGGTTATAGGAAGTAGCAGAGAGAAAGGGTGTGCACTGAACATGACATTGCTATGATGGAGCCTTTTGCAATGGAAATGATGCTGTATAGTCATCAGATAGAACATGACTACACATGATGACATACTTTAACAGGCTGAGGCTTTGAAATAATGTGTTCAGTCTTAGTAGAGTGCAACAACATCCACTGATTTACACTTATTTATAAACAAAATTCTTTAAAGCTATCCATATCACAGTCTTAAACTCCTATTTTTGCAAGTAATGGTGACCAAGTTCTTAGGTCTCAGCTATCCCTTGTCTATCAAATATACATAGAAGTATATGAAGAAGCAAGTTAATGCTAGTATGGTTTTCTGTATATGCAGTTTGTCAGTTTCTAGTTTATTTAACTTTGTGCATGTTAATAAAACATGTAAAAAGGAATGCTAATTATTTGCATGATCACTAATTGTAATGTGGAAATGTATTTTCAAAACGTTTTTTTTTTCTATCTCTCTCTCTCCCCATTTTTTTTTTTTGGACAATTGGGGGTATGGAGGATAGTTGTTTGTAAAATTGATTTCCGATTTGAAAAAAGTGCTAGTTACACAAGTTTACAGTGAACAAACTTCACTAATGTCATTTAAGAGTACACCCTGGTTATCTTTTTTTTTCATGTTACTCCATAACTTCCAGAATAAGCACTTTAGTAAATGAAGATTTAATATCAAATGATTTTCATCTAAATTTTTATTTTTAAATATAGAAACAAAATTTGTAGCATTATTAACTATGTATTTAGTAAATTCACTAAGATAAGCTAAAAGATTTGCTATATATTTAGATAAATTATAGGGTGGAGTGCCAGTACCAGACTATGGGACAGAAAGGCAAATCTTTTATGTGCAATTTAAGTATACAATCTAGGAAAATAAAAGCTAGAAGGAACTAGGAATTTAGCTACATTATAATTGTGAGTGCCTAAGGTGGAAAGTATAGGTCGGGGGTGTCTGGTTTGTGAACTTCAGCAGACCATATAATACCCCAGGCTGGGAACCTGTAGGATATAAATTGTTGTAAACACAATCAGAAATATTTCTTTTGTTTAGGTTTCTAAGAAATCACTTGAGTTTTCCCTTCAAGTTGTAAAGTATGGGTTAATTGTTCTTTGTTTATAAGTTTAAACTTATTTCTGCCGTTAAGAATGTCAAGCATTTTCTTAACACTGTTAGTTTTATTTAATAACAACTCTGTTTCCTTCGTCCAGTCAGGTGATAATGATATTTTTTGTTTCGGAAGAGTTCTTTGGTAGCTGCCAGTTCTTCAGATTTGAGGACATCCTGCATGTGTTACAGTTATAGAAGGTTGAGAGTGCTAAGTTAACTTAGTAGTAAACAGCTCTTGTGCTTGTTAAGAAGTATTCTTGGAAAAAATAGGTAAATATTTTATGTTCTGGATTCCCAAAGATAGAGGTAATTGGCACAATTGAGTTTTTAGAAAGGTGTGGAGAAGTTCAATCCTTTGGCAAGTGCAGTTTTCTGATTATCACTTAAAGTGATGATACTGTAGCTAAAGATGACTTGGTCAGGGGAGATCTTGCTGTGAGTTATGTCATTAGAAAGTTTCCTTAGTTTAACATTCTGTATGTGTTCGTGTCTAGTAAGTTTCTTCTCATTACTTTGGTTGATAAGATTTAAAATGTGGTTGAAGTCCAGCCAGTATGTGAAGTTAGAGATGAATTCAGTTTAGATAAGAGATGATATTTGTGTCAGTGTATGGCATTCTGTTGAATTGTGTAAGTTTCTATTAGCAAGGTTGAACTGAAGAAACTTTGGAGTTAATGACTGGGTTTTGCATTCTGTTAAAAACTGGATGTTATGATTTATCTTTTTTGTTTTGCAGTCCAATTTTTCAATAGTCCTGTAGGTTCTGAGACAATGATTTCTGTATCATCATAGAAAGAACCAGTTTTGCCTTTTCTAAGGTTCTTTAAATTTGTGCTATCACTATTACTAGGATCATTTTCTAGTTTGTCATAATTGCTGTTATTATATAAATCATTCATACTGATCAACATTCCTCACTACAATTTTATCATCTTTATTTGCATTCATAGTTATTAAATTCATGTTAGGGTTACAAAAGCACATTTTTACTTAGAAATGTGAATACAGTTTGCTTTTCCCAAAGGAATATTTATTTGGGAGCTACATTTTGCACCCTGTATTTAGGTGATGATTAGTTTCAAGTAAAATATGTTGTTCTAATTTGGAAAGAATAAACAGTATGAGAACAGTCTGTACATCATTAATTAAACAATTTCACAATTGGAAGCCCAGGAACTCACTATTGCTCTTTAAAAAATGATATCATACCTGGTATTATTCAAAATTGCATGAATAATGATGCCTTTTAATTTGTAGAAATTTGCACTGCTCGTTTCTTTAATTTAGGATTTCTTCAAGATTGCTTATAGGAGTAAACAAACTAAATCAGAGTTATGATTTTACTTACGCCCTGATAGATTCTGTCACACTGCCAATCTGGTTTACCTTGAGTAAAAGACAGTTACAAGCCTTCTTTTCCACACCTGTCTGTATTCGCTTTGGATTAGTTACTGTCAAGTCATCACTGAAAAGTTATTGAGGGTCAGTTTAATGAATTATAATATGCAACCTGGCTCAGTATCTCTAAAATAGGTACTAGAAATAGAGTTGCATCTCTGTTTACCAAAAGATCATATTCTTAATATTACTGGCTACTTATATCTCAAAAATAAATAAGTACAGACACATTTTATAAAGTTTGCACAATAGGTATTACATATAATGGTCATTGTTGAATTATCTGTCACATCTACAGTACATACATATCTTAAATCTTTCCAGCCAGGTATCCCCTCAAGTTATCTCTAAAATGAAATAACTGAAATGTTGAGATTAATTTTTTTTTTGTAACTTTTATTAACATTTGCTTTGGATGAAATAGTAAAAAAATTGAGATTGTCAGCCCTAACTTTTAATTTTTGGCCCCTTTTTTAATTATTACTGAGATGATGTAAGCTGCTAAATTCCTCACCTGTGCAGACACAACTTGTAAGTGGACAAAACTAAGCCACTAATTTGTAACTTTTGCTCCTGTAATAAATTTTAAAATAGTAAATTTTGAGGTTGTTCATGTTAATAACATTTCAGATATCAGCATGTTTTGTTTTACAATTTTTCAAGATTCTGAAACTTTCAAAATTGTAAACATATCATCTGAAAACTTGTATTATTTTATTTGTCATAGAGATCCTCCCCTTCTTTGTGAGGCTGGTGGTTAGGGCATGTGACTTGCAATCTTCAGTAAGCAGGTTCAAAACCCACCCCCAAACATGCTAACACTTTCTTTCAGTCTTGGGGGCATTATGATGTAATGGTCAATTGCACTACTCATTGATAAAGAGTAGCCCAAGAGTTGGCAGTAGGTGGCGTTGGTTAGCTGCCTTCCCTCTAGCCTTTGACTTCAATATTACGGATGACTAATGCAGATACCCCTTTAGTAGCTTTGCACGAAATTCAACAAAACAAATCATTGTTAAGTTGTA